TAAAAAAAAAAAAAAAAAAAAAAAAAAAAAATTACTTATATAATTAAAATGTATTATTATAAAAAAAAAAAAAAAAATATACACTTATGTATAATTAAAATATATATATATGATTTAAAAAAATATAAAATTAATCAAAATACTTATATAAAATCTAATAAATGTAAGCATAATTGAAAAAAAAATTTTCAATAAAAATATGTGTACGTATGATTTAAAAAAAAAAAAAAAAATAATAATAATATCAATAAAAAAAAAAAAAAATTTATATATATATATATATATATATATATATATATATATAAACAAAAAATATAAAAAAAAAATGGAAAAAAAAAAAAAAAAAAAAAAAAAAAAAAAAAAATATATATATATATATATATATATATATATAAACAAAAAATATAAAAAAAAAATGGAAAAAAAAAAAAAAAAAAAAAAAAAAAAAAAAAAAGAGGAAAATTAAATTAATTCAAAATAAAAAATATATGTATTGTTCGGAGTAATAATAAGTTTAAAAAATAAAATTAATTATAAAAAATTGCAAAAAATATATTTAAATGGGATTTACATCACAAAGTAATAGACATAATTGAATGTATATAATTATTATGATATTTTCTTTAGAATTTATATGTTTTAATTATTTTAATTATTTGAATTATGTAAATTAAAATGTTTAAATATTGTTACAATTGATATATATATTTCAAAATATTGTTTTTAACACGATTAGCATATTTTGACCATTTTGTTGATATAATTGTTCATTTTTTTTTCTTTTTCATTTTAGTGTTAAATATTCTTTATAATTATTTTAATGTTATTATTTACATCTACAAGTTACAAATCGTATAACTTTAATAAAAATATTATACAATTATAGTTACTACAACAATTATTATAATTGTTATCAAAAATAATATTAAAACCATTAATTTAATTATTATTTATAGTAAAATTTGAACTATTATTATTTAACATTTTATATAATTATTATTATTATTATTACTATTTTTTTTTTTACTATAAATAACTTCTAATATTATTTGTATTTGCATTTGTTCACTTAATATTTCACCATTTTTCTTTTTTTTTTTTTTTTTTTTTTTTTCTGATATAATAAAAATTACAGAATGTAATAAGTAAAATTTATGATTAATATTATTAAACTTTTTATTCTTATTTTGTTTTTACTTTCAATATTATTACATGTGCTTTTAAGGATTATATTTATTCATACACAAATAATACCAGAAAAAAAAAATATATATTTACTGAAAATATTAGTTCTATTTTTTATAGATCTAATTATATAAAATATTTAGTATGTTTTATTTATTAAATTATTTTCTAAATATTATAAAAATAAAATTTTAATACGAACAAACTACTATTTTTCATTTTAAAAAAAAAAATTTACATTTTTAGTTTTTTATTATTTTTTCGAATACAGAAATTGTTAATAAGATTTTTTTTAAATCTTTGGGATGCATTAGAATTAGTATTAATATTATTAAATCTAACAAATGTTAGGATATTTATATATTGAAAAAAAATTTGTAAAAAAAACATACTGATGCGTTTGTTCCATTATAAAGTGTTAATGTTAAAATAAAATACATATTAAGAAAAAAAATAAAAAAAAAAAATACTAAAAATAAAGTGATATTGTCAAAACTAAAAAAAAAAAAAAAAAAAAATTTTTTTTTT